ACTGGGAATTTGACTTGATGGCCTCCTGGCTTGGAACACCATGTAATTTTCTTTCCACTGTGGAGGTCCCTATTACCATTTGGCAAACTCTAGGAACATGCAAAAGAGCCAATCATAGCAGCTATCTTATGACTAAATTTAAAACCAGACCAACTCAGCTGTTTTTGCTGGTTGGGATAAATTCCAATCCCACTCTCTTTTTTAAACATAGGAGGGAATAAATAAGCATTCGGGAAACACCTGCAAATAAAATTTACAATTGATTCCATTCTCTGTGCCAGAGGCTATGCCAGCAATTTGAGAAAATGCACAGTTCTAGATGATGCTCACTTCTAGATGACTGAGAATAAATAGTTTTGATGTCTCACTTACCAGACACTGTAGCAAATATTCCAGTATTCCTGGGCTCAGTAAACCTATACTTGCAGGACCTAGACAAATACAACAAACACTTGATATAAATTAAAATGCCATATTATTTTAAATCACTGGTAGCAATCAAATTGGTAGAACTCTTTCACGCATGTTATCTTATTCAAGCATCCTGCTCTGAGGTAGAAAATAGTACCAGCCCCATCTCACAGTTAAGCAAGTGAGCCCACACAGTGAAGCAACTAACTCCAGGGCACTTGGCGAGCACATGGGAGAGTCCAAACCAGCAGCCACATATTCTGATTTCTAATCCATTGTTTCTTCCACAATATGTGATGTAAGTAGCTGAGCTATGCCCCTATACTTTGCTGTTAACTTTCTTAAAATGGGTAATATTCATAAACAAATTAAATATCTACTTCTCAGGAACTGCTCCAATCAGAAGTTCCTTTTCCTCTCCCTCTACCTTGTATGTCTTCATAATCTAGCTAAACTTTATAAAGTGTGTATATATGCAAATTATATATTGTATACATACATACATATCTTTGTTATGCTGAATTTAGCTTTTTCCCCCTTTTTTTCTTTTCCCTGCTCCTTATTCTTAAAGCAAATAAACACAACTTTTTTCTTTTAAAATATCCCCTGAAAATCCACAAAGCTAAATTAAATTGTATTTATCTCTGTAGCCTTTCAGTAATTTTCTTCCAGTTAGTCTACGTCTCTCAATATCATTGTTAAGAGATTTATTTCTGTTATAGCAGGTTTGATCAAAGACCTACAGTACAAATTTCCCTTTAATGTCAAACAACTTAAGATCTTCCACTGTGGAGTGTCCCAAAGTTACCTGCTAGTTTCTCAGCCAAGCAGCCTAGGACTGCAGATGTGTTCCTGTGTTTGGCAGGATGGCCTGAGTCCTGGCAAGCTACTTCTCCATTTAAATTGAGAATTTCAGTCAATTTCTGGAGTGCATCCTAAAACAAAAAAGTACAAGTGGGTTTGACCCATATACTACACAGGTTGTTTTCCCAGGCTCATTTTTTTTTTTTGAGACGAAAGCTATAACCAGCACTTTGGGAGGCCGAGGAGGGCAGATCACGAGATCAAGAGTTCGACACCAGCCTGGCCAACATGGTGAAACCCCATCTCTAGTAAGAATACAAAAATTAGCCGGGAGTGGTGGCACGTGCCTGTAATCCCAACTACTCAGGAGGCTGAGGCAGAGCAGGAGAATCACTTGAACCCGGGAGGTGGAGGGTGCAGTGAGCTGAGATCACGCCACTGCACTCCAGCCTGGATGACAGAGTAAGGCTCTGCCTCAGGGGGGTGGGGGGAGCTATAACCAGGTGTTAAATAAACTCAGAAAGACCATATAAAAATTATGCAATGTACCCCAATGATATCATTGATTGGAAATTTCTGATCAACCTGAAAGTCTCCTTTCATGACTTACTAGATTCCATTTCATTCAGAATGCTTAAGTTGTATCAAATATATGCTACATATTCGTGAATCACTAAACAGATTAAACCCACTCAAATGCCATTATGAAAACATTAAAGGCTAGTGATGTTGAAGTAAAAAGTTACTTTAAAAAAAGTTTTACGGCCGGGCATGGTGGCTCACGCCTGTAATCCCAGCACTTTGGGAGGCCAAGGCGGGCGGATCATGAGGTCAGGAGATCGAGACCATCCTGGTTAACACAGTGAAACCCTGGGTCTACTGAAAACTTCAAAAAATTAGCCGGGCGCGGTGGTGGGCGCCTGTAGTCCCAGCTACTCGGGAGGCTGAGGCAGGAGAATGGCGTGAACTCGGGAGGCGGAGCTTGCAGTGAGCTGAGATCCGGCCACTGTACTTCAGCCTGGGAGACAGAGTGAGACTCCGTCTCAAAAAAAAAAAAAAAGTTTTACTAAGCAAAAACAAATCCCAACAGTTTTCTTCTTTTTGCTCTCGCTCTGTTGCCCAGGCTGGTGTGCAATGAAGTGATCATGGCTCACTGTAGCCTTTACCTCCTGGGCTCAAGTGATCCTCCTACCTTAGCCTCTCTCGCAGCTGGGGACTACAGGCACATGTCACAATGCCCAGATAATTTTAATTTTCTGTAGAGATGGGGATCTCATTATGTTGCCCAGGCGGGTCTTAAACTCCTGGTCTTAAGTGATCCTCCTGCTTCAGCCCCCAAAAAGTTTGGGATTACAGGCATGAACCACTGCACTCTGACCCAATAGAGTTGAAGGTAAATTGAAACAGGCACCTCTTATGAGCCTAGGCAAAGGTAAATTCATTGGCGAGTACGCTAAAGCCTTTCCCCTTCTGTCCATAATGTTTTTCTGTACTGGGCTTAAACAGATGAATGAAAATGCCAGAATCGAGGCTACGCACAGTGGCTCATGCCTGCAATCCCAGCACTTTGGGAGGCCAAGGTGGGAGGATGCTTGAGCCCAGGAGTTTGAGACCAGCCTGGGCAACATAGCAAGACTCCATCTTAAAAATGAAAGATGCCAGAATCCAATTAAAAAAAAAAAAAAAAGACTCTGTAAAACACATGGACTAAGACAACGAAAG